GCTAAGAGTAAATGAGACATCGACCCCCTGATCCACCTGACATGGATCTACAGTGAGGACATTGGGATGTCATTTGGACTGGAAAAGTGCAGCTGGATGGTAGTAAAGAGAGGGAAGGTAGTTAAGACTGTTGGGGTGGAACTACCAGCGGGCCACATAGCAGACATACAAACCAGCTACAACTACCTTGATATCCACAGTTACATGGGAACCACGATGAGGAGGCAAGGAAGACAGCAACATCCAAAATACCACCAAAGGATAAGACAGGTCCTGAAGAGAGCCAGCACAGGGCTAAGATCCTGTGGGACCTATAAATATGTTGTAACTATAATATACAGGAATGTACAAGCTAAACCCTATTCAAATAGTAATAAACTATACTTATGTGTTATATTCAAATATGAGATCTAGTATTGTTTCTGATGCATCTACAGAAGTATCATCAACCTCTACATTTTTTGGATTTCACATGTAAGAGCATTAGCACTGCTCTTATTAAATAAGTTTTCTCTATTAGATAATCTTTATATAGAATCAAGTAATCTTTGTCTTTTGAAGAGATCACTGTTACAGTATGACTCCTTATTTTAAACCCCAATAAAGAGTGTAACTGCAAATGATTTGAATTAGTTCTTGAATTAACATATCCTAATAGAAATGCATTAATTCTGTCAGGAAAATTCTCTCTTTTCCTTTTTAATTGCTCTAACAGATGTATTGTTGTTCTAACAGATGTTCTATTGAATCTGAGTATTGGGCAAGGACATTTTTATATGATGAGTCTATAAAGAACACTTTGATATTAAAATCAGGTTCCTACCTTATATAACACTATTTTTTATGGATTAATCAATTCTGGAAATAGCCAACTCTTCATATAGTCTCCTGAAACCAAAGATGAAATTTGAATGCATGTAACCATAAGGGAAGTTCTCTCTGCATTAGAAAGTAGGGTAATGTCCAATCATTCCAAATGACAATATCCCATACTATATTCCACACCATTCAAGAAATTACCGATCCCTGGGTGCAGTATTTAGTAGGGGAGTGCAAAGATAAGATGCAGGTGATAAGGAAACTTCAGACATGTAAATGAAACCTATCTCATGTTCACTGCTGCATGCTAGAATCTGTCTGGCACCCTTCCAATACGTAAAATAATTATTCCCATCAACCCCTTTATTCATACTGGATGGAAGAGATGAAGTTGTTGCAGTCCTGAATTTGTGGAGTTTTCGGTTGGAGGAGGCTAATATAAACTAATCACATGTCCCATTGCAACATAGCTTGCACTCTGCACATGTAGAGACATTCAGTGAAATCTTGGTGCAAAATCAAAGAATTGTATTTGATTATGTAAACGTTATTGCAAAAATCTTGAAAAGGGGGGGAGGGGTTTTCTGTGGAAGCCTCCTCCTGTGAAAGGTGTCCAGTGTATCTTGTCCACTCCCCTGTGCACAGTATGCCCATTCTCCTTTGGCCACTCCCTGCTGGATGGACAGGGTTACCTGGTCCTACAACTGGACCATGAGCCCCAACTGGCTCCAGGGACTACCAGCTAGTGCTTACCCCCTCCTAGCTCCTCATTTATCTGTCAGTTCGAAGGCGTGGGGGTGACGTCACCCTGTGCTGGCTGTCACATGTTCTGTGACTGAGGCAGGCCAGTGCGAGCCCTGAGGGGTGCCACGGTGCAATCCCAGACAAGCCCCCGAATTGTTGCCTTTAAAATTCAGACACCCAAGTTTGGCATGGAGCTGATAAAAATTTAATCCCTGAATTTGGGAGAAAGACTAACTTTGCAAACTGGCTTTTTTGCCCCTCCTGACAACACGAATCATGAGTACTTCAGACAAAGCAGAAAAAGTTTATTAAGGTGGGTCAAGTCTTTATACTAGGTACATAAATAAATGATACATCCATTCAGTATATGTGATGCATCAGAAAACAACAAATCAAATAATAAAAGACTTTAATTAGACATGAGAATTAAACAATAGAAAACATTGATCCTAGATAACATTCCACAAGTGGCAGATTTATGCGTTATGTCACTCCCTTTCCCAATCAAGTTTGTATCTTTCTTAATACTTGCAAGTATATTCAAACACTTGAATAACAATATTACACTTCCCATTGTTTTGTTGCTGAAAAGGCTAGTTCTCCCATACTGTATCAACAGAAGAAATGGCTTTGGCTAAAAAGAAAACATGGTTTCCTGAACTTAAAAAGGAAGCATGGATGCCATGCTAAAATGCTAATGTCACCTTTATTAAAAAGCTAATAATGAAGTCTAAACTTCCGGGTGATGTGTCCCAACTAGCATGAGGAACAGCAACTGGTAAGTTTGGGGCAGCAACTAAGCCTTGTACAGCTGGTTCTTCAATTGCTTATTGAAAGCAGGTGAAGCTTGAGATGTTAGGCTTTATCCCATAGCATAGAACAAACACCTAAGATTTTTCCCACTGTATTCAAGACAATAGTTGGTTTACCTTCCCTTAACCTGAAAATGGCTTTTCAATAACTAGCGGCAACACCTTGGCCCACCTTCTCTGGACTCAATAATTAAGCAGGGTCAACCCTGTGTAGTACTTGAGATGGGAGATCAATAAGAAATCCTTGGGCTGTGGGCTAGACTGGGAAGTTGAAAAAAATCTTGGAAACAGGCAGAGGCAAATAACCTCTGTACTCTTGCCCAGAAAACTGCAGTGATGTGTCTACCTACCTAGTCACTAGGAAGGCATTGTCATCTTATTTCCTGGCAAACAGTCAAGAGCCAATCACTTCCATGCTGTTGCCACAAAAACTTCTTGAACTCCAAAAACTCCATGAAGTCATCAGAGATGCACATTAGTCCCAAAAGTAATATTACTCATTCTAACTCTGAGAAGCCTTGTATCACATTTCGGCAACTAAGAGGGCCGCATATTTTTATGCACTGCCTTATCATCTTCTACTTATGGGAATCTATAAAATTTCAAAATACAGTACAGCCCTTCTTATTATAGAGATAAAGGAGTAGGTTTATCTTCTGACTTTCTTACTGTCTTGAAATTATGAACACCTCAAGAATTGTAGCTGGATAGGAAAAGGCCAGGCAACCTACAAATGAGTGCAACAGAACAAGTGGTTCCTGTGTTGGATGAGAAGTAGGGTCAACCTCTTCTTAGGAGTATAGAGGTGTAGATGCTTTTGTTGCCTATTGCCTTTGGATGTTTTACACCCATGGCATTTGACAACAACCCATGACCAAAAATATGTAATCCTGGCAATCTGTCAACAACGTCTTAGGTGCAACAGTATAGTATTTGCTATATTACAGTGCTCTGAAAGGTTATCCAGTCCAAATAAGAGCTAAGGATAAAGGACCAAAAGAAGGAGAGCTGGGCCTTGGAATGATCATCTACAATAACTGACAGCTGGACAGCAGCAGACTGTACATGTACAAATCACCTGATAGATTGCATCTTTACTTAAATAGCAATATTCTATTGCCTAAATTTGCACTTAAGCATAGATCTGAACATTTGCAATTTGCTGGGTAAATCTATTTTAAGAAGGTGAGTTTGTGTGTTTGTTTTTGGAGGAAGAGGTGGTAGGGATTATACTTAAATGGCCCAGCGCAAGCATATAATCCAATCATAGAAGTAGGGCTGCAATTCTGTCCATTCCAGATCTAGGAATACTTCTCATGCATTTCCAAGCACTGGAGAACGGTCCATGCTGGCAAACTGAGGACTTTCCTCCCACTTCTCTTATTTGACATACTGCATGGAAGTTAAGAAAGAGCCAGTACCTGGCGTTGTGCTGTTGGACGTAAGGCCAGAGAGATCTAGGTTCACGTGCCCCTTCAGTGGGTGACTTTGGGCCAGCGCCCTTCTTTTAGTCCAATCTGCCTTACAGGATTGTTGCTGGAATAAACTTGGAGATGCAAGTGTCACACAACATGTCTTATTCTCTTTGACATAAGGCAAGACCTAAATATAACAAATAAATTAAAATGTAAAATACAAGTGTGACAGTTAAAACTGTTCATACATTGCAGTAAAACATAGTAGGAAAAGCTGAATCACATCTCATGACCATGAAAGAGCCAAGGGCTTTATGTTTTCTCACCAGCTATGCAAAATTCAGGTGGGAAGAGGGAAAGATGGGGTAGCAATGGCCAGACTCCCCACCTTCCTTGGGCAGGTTCTTTGCAGTACTTGAAGAGAGCAAGTTTATAAACAGGTGCAATATTTTGTTTCAGTCTGCTTTTAATCTGCTTTTATCCTTTTACTGAATTGTGACCATAAACCACTTCACAATTGGGAAGAAGCCGTATAGAAACACCTTGGTAAGTAAGTAAATAAGTAAACGAAGCCAGAGCTGTATCACAGCCCCGGTGTGCAAGCAACTCACAATCCAAGCCATTTTTAACTGCTTAGAAGTGGGGTCAGAGTTTTGCACCGTGGGTTAGCCGCCCCAAGAAGCCGGCAGGAGCGCGCGTCGACCTTTGCCCCCTCCTGCAGCGGCAGGTGGCGATTCCTCGTTGTACGGCCAAGATTCTCACGCGGTTTCACCAAGATGTATTCGTGGGTGCGCGAAGAGAAGCCCTTCAGGGATGCTCTGCTATTCCTCGTTAAAGCCAGCGGCTTTTTTAAGAGCTGGGCAAGCACGGAGAGCTCGCGTGCCTGTCCGTTTCCTTGGCCAACTTCCCCAAGTCCACCCCACTGCGGATCTTATACTTGGGTGAAATCGAGCGGCGGACCAGGCGTTGCAACGAGGAGCGCGTTCCCGATTTGCTTCATTCATTCGAAAAGCACGAACGGGACTTCGCGGTTAAGGTGAGCATTTCGTCTTCCAGCGCGGAGCGGAAACTTGCGGCGGTAGGTCAGCGGCTTGCGACCGCCTCGGGCTTCCTGGGCAGAGGAGGGAAGCCGTCGCTTCCCCGCCCCTTATGCCGCACGCAGCGCCTCCGCAGTCTGAGCGTTTTCCCCATCCTTCTGCACGCGCTGCGTTTGTAGTCGGCGCCTCAGTCTCCGCGCCGCTTCTCACCCTCCCTCCTCCCCGCCTTTTTGGTTACTAAAAATGCATCGGAAGCTAACCGGGGTCCCCGGCGATTCCTGAGAAGGGAGCTCCGAGTTCTCTTCCTTCAGGCTGCAGAATCACCTCGCTGCAGATGCTGGTGTGGATTGTTTCTTTTTTTCCCTTTGCCCGCCCTGCAAGGAGTTTGCATGTCTTGAGGATGCCGGACATGAGTCGCCGTAGCCTCCCCGCCCTGCGCAGCGACGCCGCCTCGCCGTTTTCTCCTATGTCTCTCTCAGCTAAGAAAGAAAGGAGAGAGAAATGCCAGCGACGCTCAGAGCCTCGGAAAGCGGATCTCCCTGGGTCTCCCCGCAGTTTATGGCGAGTCGAGCTAAATTCGTGAGCCTCTTCAGATGGTGCCGGAGTGCAGCTTATCTTTTCACTAGAAAGGCTAGGTCGGACTAACGGCCGGCCGTGCCTTGGGGAGATCTTTCTGCAGCGCCCCATTCCCATCATTTCCTTTAAAATACATGAACCATCTGAGAAGGAAGAACTCGCTAAATAGGAAAAACAATATTCCCCAGTAGGTTGACCTTCTTTAAAATATTCCTGGCACTGCGGCATTGCAGAAGCATCAGCGGTGGCTTTCTGGGCTCAGTCTGAGCAGCAGCAGCACACCTGAGCAGCGCCCCTGCGTGAGATCATGATAGGCAGTGGCTGGGGACAGAGCTGTGTCTGCTCTTGATCCTGTACTACGTCCTGTAAAAAAGCAACAAAGCCATGGGGATTTTTTCCCCTGTCAGTTACTGAGGCTCTGGAACTGGGCTGGCTGCAGAAGGACGTTTACAACAGCAGGGTGGGGCTACAGGTCAGTCGAGAAACCCTACTAAGTTCTCAAACCACTGTCTCTAGCGACCAGTCCAGCTAGCCAAGGAGTGAGCATACAGCACCATCCGTTTCACTTGTGCTATCCATTTGGGAACACGAAGGTAAGTGCCTCTCACGCAGGACCTCTTTTAAAACTTTATGTTTGGCTATGGAGTCTGAGCCTGTGGGTGCTGCTTGGACACAAATCCTGCTGTGTGCATGTCTTATACATATCTGTGCATAAAGTATTATGCATATTTTCACAGAATACAAATTCTTCCAAGTAACATCAAATCAATTATTTATTTATTTATTTATTTAATCAACTTATATAGCCACAGGTGACTCTGGGCGGCATACAACAAATTATATTAATAAAGGCAAAGTTTTAAAAAGTGTGAACACGTGCAAGGCTCCACTTTGCCCTGTAATAATAAGCCACCTTTTTTTTCTTCTCCCCTTTCCATCCTCTGTCTCTACATCTAGCCAGATAAAGAGCCCTGCAGAACTCAAAAACTTGCTTACTGCTTTCTGCCTATTTGGTTGGCCTTAATAGGATAACCTTTTTATGATTGACAGGTAATTCCTAATCCTCAGACCCAAAGAATTCTAGTTAAAATAGGGTACTTATCCTACCAAGAAAAATCTAGAAGGAAGGTCAGATCTACCCAGGCAGTCTCCAATACTCCTATAGAAATTCTGCAGGTATCTATAATTGTTGTCTGTCCTACCAGTGGTAGGACCAAATGTAGCCATTTTAGGAGCAGGATAGGGGCAATTTCGGATCAGTTTGCTTCAAAGCTCTTTTGTTCTCCTAAAAAGTTCCCCAAACAGGCCCCCAGAGCTATGCCATTCATTTCCTGGCTTCTAATTAGAAAAGGAGACATTCAGGATGGGGGGAAAAAATGGGATAAACACAAGAGCTTTCTCATTGGAATAACTTTCAAACTACTGGATGGGTTTGTGACATGAGTGGAATGGTTCTTCAGTTACAGCAAAACAGTCTTTTAAAAAAAGAAACAGCATTGTTTCTCTTGAACTGGCAAAGGCTTTGTTTTGCCTTTAGTATAATTTGCAAATGTAATTAAAAGAGGTTTTGTGGACTCCAACAGAATGTAAAAGGGAAGTACAATATTAATGAATGCAGGATTATTCAGAATTATAAAGATAAGGATGAGTGTAATGAAACTATAGCACTAACTAGAGAAGACACATGAAACAACATCTTCAAAGGAATAACATTCACAAGGGAAGAAGTAAACACCTGCACGTTACCCTTCCTGGATATCCTCATCAGCTGTGATGGAATGGAATTATGAAGGCCAGGCTGAGGGAGAAAAACATTTTCTTACATCTCC